TTGAATATCGTCTTGATGTCTGCAGGGCAACTAAAGGAGCATATATCAAAATTACTGAACAGGAAAGATTCTTGGAGAGTTTCTCTTTATTTTGAAGTTTATTTCATATCCCTGTCGTGCTTTGTTCCAAAACTATGACTTTGTTACCCCACCATTATTTTACGGACACACTGTATAATCCGAGGACTGGGTGGAAATGAGTACTTACAGTCTACCACACAGCATGAAACATCTAAGCAGAACCAGAGATTAGTTGGAATAGTAGTGAAGCTGTTGTATGCAGATTTATTTTGTGTTATAAAATGTGTTGAAAAAATGACGCCTATATTATTTCATTATGTTCAAACAACACGAAACTGAACTAAAATGAAATGCCTTGTATTAGCCTCACATTCAGAAAAATAATTTGTAAGGCAAGTGGTTAATTATCACCTTTATATCTCCAGCTTTATTCTTGACATATTTTTCTGTATTTTGCAGGTCTGATACAATGCATTCATTTTGAAATTGAATGGTGAACTTGTTTAAATAAATAATTACAGATTACATGCTTAAAACGTAGAAGAGGGTAGGGTTTGTATGTATTTCAAGAAAGATATGATGTACAAGATGATGAAGTGTAAGACCTACTGGTGTAGTGTGAAACTCGTCTTCAAAACAGTTATGTTCAATGTGAACACTAAATGTGTATATGTTGTTATTAGTGTTCACCTGCACAGAAAGAAATACTGCACATGCTCGAAAAAACAGGATGGATGGTTGGCCACATGTTAACAGGAAGTCAGTGATTCATTTCTTTAAAAGGAATTGTAATAATTTAAAACTTTCGCATTACTATAGAACACTAGAAAGTCATTATATTTGTCAGTATGTGGGAGATTTCCTGCATTTTCTCACAATTTGTTTGCTTCCAGTTATTAAACAGATCAGAAATTACTTTTCTTAAATTATGCACGTATGGTATATAATTAGTACCATCTTTCTGGTACCACATAAGTAATAAATGCAAATTTTCTGGACAATGAAATAGTTTCTTACAACAGATATGTTTTTCCATTAAACTGTGTTGACTGTATACTGAAAATGTTTTTAATACATGTTATTAGGACAGCTGTGAAATAGCCCCACTCCCCTTGACAAAGACAACATAAAATTTCTTAAAATTGCAGAAAAATGATATTAGATTGACACTTCTTGTCCATTTTACTTGTGGTTTATTTCGTGATTCTGTCAATAGCTGAAGCTATATAGCATTGAAGGATAGGAAAGGAAATGGAAGTTGTGGCCTAATTTTGGTTGAGACATTTACCTTGACAGACTGAGGAAAATGAAATCCCCTCAGTATAGTCATTCTCCAGGTCAAGAGTTGAACCCATTACCTCTTGGTATTGCAATTAAATGTAAATACCACTGGGTGCAGCCTGAAAACATCCACGGGGAAGTGAATAAAGGAGCCGTGACTTGCTTCAAAATATATCCAACCTGCATGCTCTATTGTATTTATATTAACCTTGACTGGCCAGTACTTCATGTCAAATTAAATGGAGAATTAGAATAATAGATAAATCCTGTACAACAGTAGTCTGTTAGCCTTACATGTATCCTGTGTGGAATATCACATAAGTTTACTGAATTTTGTCACCACTGGTCCAGTTTCCATTTTCTGAGTTGGCATATCTTCCTGTTTTTTGTTAATTTAGTGCTATAATTTTTATTTATGTAAGGGATGGTGTTAATTTGTGATAAATCAGAAGCTGAAAGAGATTTTTAAAATCGAGTGAGTGCAGCATAAATGAAAGCATTTAGAGCAATCAGGCTAGATCATAATTTGTTGTGATTGATAAATGAGGCTTACCACATTATAATTACTGTGTCTTTAGTGTCACATACCTTATTTTCCTCTCATTTAATAGCACTGTTAATATAAATATAGTCCACCAGACAGTTCTGAGATGCTGCCAGACTTTACAGACATCTTGGCACCAATTATCCTCATATTTCACACAAGCCACAGAAAAGATATGAAACTATAATTTCTGTGATTTTATTTCATGTACCACATGAACATTGCCATTTTTCATTTCATGTCATTTCAGTTCTCCATGTGTTTCTTCCTTCTAATTATCATATTTCTTCACATGGTGTTCTGTCTAGATTTTACTAAGAGACAAGGGTTCTGCAGTGACAAAAGTTTACAAAATATAATGAACTGTTCAAGAGAGACCTTCCTAATTTTGCGTCTGACAGACTTCCTGTAATATTCCAATCAAAAGGAAGGTGAACGAGTTTATACATGCTACATGTGATCTTAAAATAGCACTTTATTATATTTTATTGTATTTTTATTTTCTGCTTATTCTGAAGATTGTTTCTCACTAGCAGTGATTTATACTAAATATTCATTGTTCATTAGATACTTAAAGTGTAAAAATGAATTAAACTAGACATGTTAGTGGACCCATAACATCCCGTCACATGCTGGGATAAAACAATTTATAGTTCAAAAACCATGTCAGTCTGTAGGAAAGGAGGTAAAATTAATATTGTCTTTTAGAAATGAAATCTCTTTCACTGTGAAACAGTAAAAGTCCTCTAATGTTCTGAATGCTGCTCACTGGAGGGACTCCAGTCAAGGATTTTCAGAAATTCCTCCTCACTGAACTGCAACTTGCATGCTGCCTGTAAGTGAGCCTGCAGGGAAACACATCATAAGTATTACCAGCAGGAGAGTATCTTCCACACATCTGTACATAAACTAATGTCCTAACTGCATCAAGCTTTTATTTAATTCTTGTCAATCAAAGCCCTGGGGTCTACATGTTTCAAACTTTGATTCTGCGTGTGTTCAAAACCTTAGTCTCAAAAATAGATCACAGAATTTTACATTAGTATGGATGACTTGAGTAGACAAAGTAATCAGATATATCCAGACACATCTTTCTTAGAATAAATCGGTGATAGTGTACATTCCTCTTTATTCCTCTGAATATAATTTAAATGCAATATTATAAAATGGTATGAGTTGATAATTTGTGGTATTTTATGTGTCTTAACCAGACATGGTTAATTGTTGTTGTTTCTTGGCTCTACAACCCAGTTGTGGGTTTTCACCGCCTCCTTCTTTTTCCGGAGGTTTCTTGGTCTTTTGAAGCGTGCATTAATGAGTAGTGAGTGATCAGCCCACTGACACATGATTAAGTACTTTCCTGTAATAACATTACTCACTTTCTGCTTTTTGAGGTTGTCAATGAGTTGCATCTGTTTCTTGAACCCAAGTAGCAATTCTGACTTCTGTTTCTCAAGCCGCTTCATAACCACAGCCACCTCATCTTCTTTCTTACGTGCAAGATCTCGTAGCTCCTTATCATCACGCTCATGACTGTGTACAATGGTCCGCAATTTTTCTAGCTCTTCCAGTGAACGGTTCAGTCGCATCTCATTTGCCTTTAATGTCTGCACTGCTGTCCGCAGTTCTTTTTTGGTGGACTCCAGTTCCTGCAAGAAAAGACCAAAATTGTGTCACTCTTAACTTCAAATTGTCCGTCTAGTAATTAACTCCAGTATGAATATTTAGCAATCAGTAGTATTCAGCCATTCCAGAAATTTTGATGTTGTGGAACTGAAAGTCATCATCATCATCATCATCAGTTCCTGTTCAAATCTGCACATCCTATTTCCTTTAGATTGATTTCATACTACCTTCCCATCTATGTCTCTGTCTCAAACGTTACCTTTTTCCATAGGATTTTCTATCCAAAATTTTGTACACTACTTTTGCTTTCAGCATGTCAGCCTCAGTCTCCATACACTTCAGTGTCCCCAAGTTATGCTTTTAAACTCCAGATAAAGTGCACAAACTGAAACTCCCTGGTAAGTAATTTTCATCACTCCCTTTTACTTATCTTGTATGTCTGAACATTCTCTTCAGCTGCTTATTTTCAGTTGTTCCAGCTATCAAATTACCATATTTAATTCAATACAGGATATGCATTTGCCCCTAATTTAGTATCTGAAGAAACAAGGAGTCATATTTAAAAATAAAGCACAATACTTCACAACAACAAAGTATTGTTTTTGTTGTACATGGTGAGAACAAACTGATACAGGTAGCTGAACTGTGTAGGCTGTTTCAGAACTAGTTATTGCTTAAATACTGAGGGGAAAAATATAAAGGACTTATGAAGGATTTTGTTACTTCCCGTTAGACCCATAACTTATTTATACCTTCTTGAGGGATATGTTCTCAGACTCCTGTTGTGAGTGTTTGGAAACAGTGCTAGAAGCCAACGTTTCTTGCTGCTTTAGAGAATCTATGAGCACCCCTGCCTGTTGCTGCCACTTGTTCCGATCCTCTTCCAGAGTCTTCATCTCTGCCTGTACCTTACGCCAGTCCTCTGTCTGCATACAATCAGCAACACAAAGACTGATAAAATTAAACATGTATTCAGCAGGCACTGGATTAGAGTTCTGCCTAATGCCAGGTACAGAGTAATATATATTTTTCATGTTATCTGTCACACATTTTTTACATCTCTTACTAGATTGATGTGTCTAGTTTGTTTTAGGCAAACACTCATAAACATATTACATGAATATAAGTACATGCCTTTCCATTTGTGGTGAAATGCATTTAAAATCTACAGTTTAAAATAAAATGGGCACACCCTATTATATATCAGTATGAACATATCAATAATAAATGAACAACTAAATAAAATGGAAGATTATTGTAGTAGAAATTTTCTTGATAAGTGTACTGATTCTGATAAGACTGTTGCTGAATGCCATGGTTAAATTCTTAGCACTCCTGCTTTGTATTCTCGAAGTCCTGGGTTTAAATCATGGCCTGGAGACTGGCAATTGTGACTGAGGTTTTTAGTGGTTTTTCTCAGTCCCTACAGGCAAATGCCAGGATAATACCTTGAATTAGGCCATGACTGCTTCCTTCCACATCATTTCCAATTCATTATTAACTATCATCCTCTCATTCAGTGCTATATAGTGTGAGTTACAGAAAAAGCATTGTTAAATAAACTATAAATAAATTAATAAATAAATAACATAAGAATATTTAATTTCCTAATAAGTGTCTTATGCAACTAGAGTAAATCTATAAGTATTAAACTTTCATTTTTCCATGTGTTCAAATTTATTCAATATGCATTAGTGACTCACCCGTTTCTTGTAGGCAGCTTGCAGTATTTCCAGTTCATTTTGTAGACCCTTTACCTTGGCCCTGAGGAAACGGGTGATGCCATCATTTCCCATTCCATAACTGGCATCTGGAAGGACTTCATCTCCAGTTCCTCCATGAGCAGGCATATAAACACTGCATAAATGAAAACATTAGAAGCTCAGTACTACAGAAATTAATATAATTAAAATGCACACAGAATGTGGTTCTTATAACATAAGGATAAGACCACCTGTATGTGGGTTTGAATTTGTATGTAATTGGAAAGATATCCAACTATTGCCTAGAATCATCCAGTGTCACTGCAAACACCACTGACAAACTTTTAAAACTGTCAACACAAATATTACAGTCTGTTACAAATTTTTGTCCTCAATAATTTCAGTTCAATAGATATAGTAGGAGAAAAGTCATGCCTGGACCCTGCTGGATTCTGAAGAGTGGTACATGTGGAGATCTCAGTCTTTGACAATCTCTCCTGAATTTCCTGAAATTGAAACAGAAGTCTAACGTTTAATATTTGAAAAATGAGACATTGGTATAGCAGAACATTTACACTTCAGTAAAAATACATACCTTTACCCCTTCTACTTCTTTCAGCAGTTCCTTTGTTTTCTGTTCCAGTTCTGAATTTAATTTATGAAATTCTTCTTCCCTTTGCAGAAAGTTCTTTTCCATGCCAGACTCTTAAAATAACTAATTTCTTTAAAAATAAGGAAAATGTAACCGGTTTAGTAAAGAATCGTGGAGTTATATGGGTTTTAATGAGTATTCCCACATATAATTTAACGGTTCACATATTTTTCTTGAACACCTGCCTGTTTCAATTCTCCCTCTTTACTTTTTTTTTTATAATAATTACATATTCTAACACGTGATGGCAGCATAATTACTCGAATTTTCATATTTCTTGAATGGTGACATGCTTCGATAGTCATGAAATCGATTTTCATAAATCTTATCGATAGTTGCACTTCTTTGTGAAATATCGACATAACGTATGGTGCCAGTCATTCCTATACGTGGAAATCATTGGTGTTATTTACAGTTTCTATATTAGTCATTGAATAAAATACCAATTTAATATTTCCAGAATGGGTAGTGTTCGTGTAATCAACGATGATAATCATTTCCAAGGAGAAATGTCCTGTTCCGGCACTAAATTAGTAGTGGTGGATTATACTGCTAGCTGGTGAGTTTTTTTTTTACATTGTGCTTGATTTTGAGGTTACAAGCCCTCTGTAATTGAATTAAACATTTAATCCTTTTTGCTCCAAGGTGTGGCCCTTGCCAGAGGATTGCTCCTGTGTTTGAGCAATTGGCAAGAAAGTATCCACGCGCCGTTTTCCTGAAAGTTGATGTTGATAAGTGTCAAGAGACAGCTGCCAGTCAAGGAGTAACTGCCATGCCAACGTTTATATTCTACAGAAATAAAGTATGGTTAATGATTTAATACGATTATTTTGTTTTTTACATGATTCAAGATAATCTGAATTTACTTGTTTTGTTTAAGACAAAAGTGGATCGGGTACAAGGAGCCGATCCCACTTCTTTGGAGAACAAAATTCAGCAATATTATGGTAGTGAAGATTCAGACGATGGTGAGAGTTCAGTCCAGGGTCATGTGAGTTCAAATGAACATATTCTGTTTATTTTATATTCTTTCTTTGCACTGAAATAAACTATTTTGCCCTCTTTTAATCATTCCATTTAATATTGTAGTATTGTTTTTACAGATGGATCTATCAACATTCATCCACAAGCAGCAGTGTGAGTGTTTGAATGAATCAGATGATCACCCGTTTGCTCATTGCTTGACTAACAATGGTGGATACCTAGAATCAGATTGTGATGAACAGGTGTGATTTGTGCTTTAAGTTTGATAGGTAGGAGCAGTTAGAAGTATTAATATAATTTTTAAAATCGTATCCAGTTAGTCTGGTGCAAAACTTACCTCAGTTTAAAAACTGACGTAACATACAATGCTCCCTTACATTACTGATATATTTTTTGGACCCTTATCTGTCAGGAACAGGTGTAAATATGGTGACAGCCTCCTCCTTCACACGATTTTACCTATAATTTAGTGTCTGGTAACATTAGTTTTATTTATGCCTACTAGTCTCAAAACAAACATGTCATAAATTAAACGAACTTGACCAAATATCTCATCCTATCACAAAATTCAGGTCCTTTAACTTTGCTAATACAAGAAATAGATGTTGCTAAATATGCCAAAATAGAAAAGCACCTATTCCATTTTGTAGAAGCATATATTCAGAGTTCTTCTTTCTGTATTCTCTCATCTACATATTTATAAAACCTGTACACATCTTATCCCAATTCACTGTATATTTGTCTGAACATTACATAACTTCAGTAGTTGAGACAGCATTATTAAATAACTGTAATTTTTATTAATGCAGATACTTAAATTAGGAATGTTTGTAAGACAAGTTGTGTGTTATTTCAGCTCATAATATCCATCACATTCACGCAGGCAGTGAAGGTACACTCGCTGAAGATCAAGGCTCCACAGGATAAAGGTCCAAAGACCATTAAATTATTCATAAACCAGCCACGAACACTTGACTTTGATATGGCAGACTCATACCAAGCCGTTCAGGAGCTTCAGTATGTATCTCGAAGATAGTTATGTAACTATGAAATGTTTCATTCATCCTCACAAAGAATGGGGAAGTAGATTTTTAAACTGTTGTACATAGCTGGTGAATCACAAAATTATTTTTAACAGTTTGTGTATAATGAAATTATAATAGTAGCACAAATGACAGTTTCCAAATATATTTTGTGATGTATAGTTAGCTGACAACAAAACAGCACTGCATGAATTATACCTGAAAGAATGTTAGGCTGGAAGTTAAATGTAACCATATCATATTTCTTTTCATTGAAAAGAATAGTCAACTTACAAAATCTGTGTAATTTAAAAATCTAATGTTTTCTGTCTCAGTAAATGAGGGTTCTTTTTTCCCCCTCTGGCATATTGTTAGTATAAATTTTGTCTTATAACCAGAGTTCATTGCTGCCCAGCCCACAGCCATGTTGAGATATTAAAAATATGGCTTTTGACAGTCTTCATACTTGCTACCGTGAGATCCTGAAATCTCACAAAATCATTCAGGGCAGAGACCAAGTGGAAAAGGGTCTAATGAAGCTGTAAGCCATCTGACCATTCAAATCAATATGAATCTGTATAATCACATACTACTTGTATGGCATGCTTGTTCCAAACAAGAAGCCCTTTCTTCTCCTTGTTACTGGACAAAGCCTCTCCATTGAGGTGGCTCAGCAGCAACAAAGCCTGCTCACATTTGGGAGATCTGTAGTAGCTCTTCTGCCTGAAAATGTTTTGTAATATTTCCAGTCTTATCTTGTGACATCCATAAGAACCCTAACATATGTTGAGTATAACACTGCTAATGACTCATACAGGCCTATACAAGAGATGAGAGCAACATTTTATCACTTTTTTTGTGATGTTTCATCAAATTATTATAATGTTCTGCTGCATGTTTCTAAAAACACATTCAGATGCAATACCAAAACTTTAGATATGGTGTTAGCATTTACCTCAGTATGCAGATTACAGCATCGAGTTGTTCCTAGTACAACAGTTTACTCATATACATTTATGTTACACTTTGCACTGCATATAGGTTGCAGCCTAATTTTTAACCTAAAAATTTGAATGAAAACTGCACAATATACTTCAAATAAATATATTTGGTGTTTGGTAAGAAGGGCTTCCATCAACTGGAAATTCATTTGACAATTATGATTTAATCATCAATTAAAGATTAATGTATTCTGGGATGTTGTATCATGTAGTCTGGTAGATACTGAATGACATTTCAAAGGTGCTTACTGCTTGCATCATCAGGGCAATGATCAATCATTGCCCTGATGATTCTAAGCATAATACCAGCTTGTCCTGATTGAGTGTACCTGCCTTTGTTTTTTAGACTGACCCCAGAAGATCTTGAAGGAATGCCAGTAAATCTGCGCTATGTCAAGTTTCAGAATGTTCAGAACATCCAGTTGTTCATTAAGGACAACCAAGAAGGCAATGACACAACACACATTGATCATATCACTTTCATTGGCTCGCCCATATCGACCACCAACATGGGCGAGTTCAAACGTGTTGCTGGCAAGAAGGGAGAAAGCCACTAGTTTTCTACAGTGAGGTTACTTATCACCATTACTGCATTCTGTAGGTTGCTTCCATATCTTATTTTAAAGTAACATGAAATAAAATTTTGAAAATGTTATAGTTTTTATAATTTATCAGTTATGCAAGCTGTATAATATAATTCACACAATGCAGAGCTTAGTGAAGCAGTTTATGGAAATATTGGAACTACCAATTTAATATGAGACTATTGACTTTTTTTTTATAAAGATAGAATTCAGTCCCTGAAACTGTTGCTACAGAATACCGTTTATCTTCAACAGCAGAGCCCCTGATTTTTAACTGAAGTTGACATAATCATTCAGTTTATGCCATAAGCCAAATTATGAGTAGCAGAACATAAAGAACTGGTCTTGCCTGTTATAATGGTATTGATTTACACATACCAGAGTTGTCCAGACTTGCTCTTGTGCCCACCCAACATCCTGTGCAGTGGGTGCCAGGGGTCCCTTCCCCAGGGGTAAAGGGCAGCCGGGGCATGACACAGACCACTCACCCCCCATCTAGTGCAGTGGTTGACACCACCTCTCCTCCTCAGAACCTACATGGCTTGTAGCAGGTTAGCTTTATTTTTCCGTTACTTTGAATTTGGCATGGTCAGAGTCGCATGTTTCTGCAGAGGTGTTTAGTTATATTTTTTCCATTTGTGTAAGGAATATCTGGGTTCAGTTCTTGCTCTTTTAGATGTGAAACTTCATTTTGGAATGAAGATGTGAACTATGCTGATCACACCATAATTTTTTTCCTTTACTTTTGAAGTTGTTTGATCTTTTGTTCTGTTTCTTACGGTAGGTTACCATGTTACCAAGGGCAGAGGTCTTCAAAGTATAACCTTGGAAGTGCCATTAAGAATGTTAAATATTTTTCAGATAATTATGAATTCTGATTTTTAGATCAAAGAATAATTGGTTTTCTTTCAAGAAACACTGTAAAGAAGTGCTTCAGAAGAACAAAAAATGTATCTCCAATGGAAAGATCTTTATAGTATTCTTCTAATAGATTCCAGTGATAATGCAAGTAGAACTTACTGAACATGAGGTTGCATATTTTAATTGTTCTAGTATTGGTTATTTAACTCCTGTATCAACTATATAGCTTGTGTAGCATCACTGTTTAATTAAAAATTATGAAAGCCATATATTCCCCAATCTGTAATTTGAACTTTTTTAATCCGTTCCATTAGTCACAATGCCTTACTAGTATTTCTCTAAATGTGGTGCCAAAAACTAATGTAGCCAAATCAAGTCACTTTTGTGTTCAATAATGTCAAACACCACCACCACCACAACCAATAACAACTTGAAAATAATAAGCCAATACTACACAGTGTATATCATATCTGTAATCGCAAGTACTTGCAAAAAAACCTGCCAAATGACAGCATAATATACAAGCACTGTGTTGAATAAAGATGAAGTAGATAGCTACTGAAAAGTAGTTCCATGTGGAGAGAAAACATTTTCAGGCAGAGTTAATAAGGGAAATGTTTAAGCTGTCAAGTGTGTGGCACTGGTCCCAGGACAATGAAACATATTGTTACCAAGGAAAAATGTAATAAGAATAAAAATATAGTGGTATTAATACAATTTTTTAGGTGCACAATATGCAATACACATTACAAAGCATGACAAGACTTAATGAAAATGATTTCACAATGTTATAACTATACCTCTCTCTGTATAAAACATTCTTGTTTGTCCCAACTTTTATCAAATACACTAAGGCTGCATATAATGTTTATCTACCTACAAAAAAGTGGAATCCCATATTAGGCAATATAATATATTTAAGAGATTGTAGTCTACATATAAAAATGCTCTATAAAAAGCCTTGAGCTGTGCTAAGGTTTCATTGTAGTTAGTCCAAATATAGGTCACATGCAAATCATGCCCATAAATCCATAAAAGAAGCCACACAAATCGGTTATTCTGGGTGTTGTCAGTTGAGTCAATCATCTGTTGAATTTTGGTCACATGGTATAAAACTATCAAACTTCAAGACATGTGATATAAATTTGATTCAGCATCAGTTATGAAATGATCATGAAATTTATAGCATCTTGAGTCACAAAAAATTAGTTTCACTCTACCAAATTACATTCTGTGAAATATTAAACAAAATTTCAAATAATTTCACCTTAGTCAATAATATTAAAAAAGTAAACATAAAACATGAAAATAAAAATTATAAAAAAATCGTTACACAATCAGCTACAATAAAATTGGAATACATGAATATGAGCAAACACTTGTCAAGTAATAATTATCTGAACACAAACAAAGAGTGTTAAAACTTAAGCACATGGAACAATCTGGAAAATTAAAAATAAAGAATTCCAGCTATCAAATACGACTGATAATAAACATTACCATATCTATTATGAAGGAAATATAAATCAAAAATTAAATTCACACCTCTCAATTATTTTTCAGAAACAAATTTCTGTAACTGTAAAGGATGCTAAAAAACTTTCATATTTAGTGCACTTCAGTTGTTTTGTCATGTTATGAAACTGGCATTGTGATTTTGAAAAACGTTAACCACCCACTTGGCATTTAAGGTGTGTTAACTGATTCTTCAGTTCTCTTTGCACATTGCAAAACTAATGTAACAGGTTCAAATCCTGTAGCACCGTTCCTCATGCACTGTAAAGCTGTTATGATTCATATAACAAAAATGAGTCCCTGAAGCTCACAATCTTTGTGGGTCACTTGCACAAACAAGCAGAGATTATTCAAACCAGTCGTGTTCTTTGTGAAATCAAAATGCTAAACAGCACTGATGTTTCTCAGCATGTTCTTAACTTGTACAATTAATTATAAGGACTTTGGATAAGAAAGTAAGTCTGAATGTGCACTGCAGATGGCAGCTACACATAATTAACCAGAACATATTTTTTTAGTGAAGTTTATGATGGAGTATATGGTTGAGGTTATTCATCCAATGCTGGCTGTCCCCATATCATAAACAACAAAGCTAAGATGAGGCATCCCATGAAAACAGGAACAAGTATGATACTAAACTATACATTTTGTATCATAAACAGATTAATTCCTGCCTGTTAATACTTTTTTGTCAAAGTTTAAAATAACTTCCATTCAGAAATGTAACTCAAACTCACTGTCACTGACTTAAAACAAAAGAAAGATTTCTACTCCCGTACCTGTCATGATATTGTGAACACTTCGAGGAAGATATAGTCCACAACATGGGTTTAAAGATGCAGCCTTGTCTAAAACCTAGATGTCAGTTTTGGGTTTACTTCTTCCAACTTTAGTGCTACGCTCCATACCATCGGCTTGTCTTCGAGTGGACTTCAGGGCAAGTGTGGCAGACCGTACATTCCCCTCGAGCATGCGGATGCGAGGACAGTACGAACGAGTGTGAGCAAAGTCGCCTGTAGCATTGCAGGCCTCGCAGCGATATGCACGTAGGATGGGACACTGCACTACTTTGGTGTTTGAACTGAACAGTGTATGGCTTCTTGCCATTGCTTCTGTCTCCCCATTTTTGGCACAGAAGGAACACCGTTGTCTTCGTCCTGCAGGCATCAGCACAAACTTACTGCTTGTCACAAACCCAATATTTTGAGGCAAGTCAACTACAGAAGTATTTCTAACCTATGACAATGAAGCACCTTTTTAAAATCAATGGTACTGATAAAAGTAAAATACTGTATTTCCTCAATTTTAAAATACCATCAATTGTTGAATGCATCCTTGATTTAGTAATGTTTTCAGGAAAAAAGGTACTGTATCAATTCTTACATGCCATCAAATGTTAGCTGCAGCCCCATTTCAGAAATTTGTTAAATCTGAAAAAAAAATTCTTAAATCAAGGAAATACGAGGTGCGATCGGAAAGTTTCAAGACTGTGTCAATAGAGGGCGAACCGGATGTAGTACGAGCTTCTGCCGCTAGGGGGTGCGGCCTACATTCATAGTGAATCAGTGGCCCAGCCGGCATCATCGAATTAGCATTTGTTTCTTAGTTACGGGCGTTTTGGTAGGTCATTACCCCGACCCTCCTGCGATTTCGGAATGGCGTGTGCATCAAATTTGGCCAAAGCCTCGCCAAAACGGCTACGGAAACCTATGAAATGCTAAAGCAAGCATTTGGGGAGTCCGCAAACTTTTGTGTGGCATTCACGTTTTAAAAACGGCCGAACTTCTGTCGATGATGACGAGCGTTCTGGACAACCATCTTCGA